ACAAGTTAAATGTGGTTGGCGCAGACGAAGGTGTGTCAGTTTCCCTTGTGTTGGAGGGACTTGACGAGGTACTGTCCGTAGCTGCAACAGGACTAAAGCTTGGGACCAAGGAAGGTGAAAGGTTTGTGAAGGGGCTCTGGCTAGGTACGAGTAATGGTGGAAATGTTGGTTGGGCGAACGGGGAAGGAGCGGGAAGTTCCCACGTTGAATCCACCACTTCTGCAGGACAAAAAGGATCGATGGCATCAAGATGGAATTGAAGTCTTCCGATTTCAATTGCAAGTTCAGTTGTTGCCTGGAATCTATTCAAATTGTCCTCGCCATCCACCAGTGCAATCTGAGCTAGAACTCTTTGGCAGAGATCTCTTCCTGTCACGACAGGACATGTAACATTAATGATTTCGACAACCTCAGTTGGCAGTAGGACACCAATCAGCTTTCTTTTTCTCAAGTTCTGAACATTACCACCGTTCCCAATGTTGGCAAGGATGTCATATGTAAGAAAATCCATTGCGGTTGTCAAGGAAGGGATGTACTCCGACTCAGACACAGGAGAAACCAGTCCATTTTGAATGAAAATTCGATAGGGAGTTATGAATGAGACAGTTCCCGAGGTGGTAGGAGCCTCCGATGTTTCAGCTGGCGGTGATGGAGCTGAAGAAGGAGTTGAGGTCGGACGCGGCGAAAGAGAAGGAACCATAGTGGGAGCGCTTGAGGGCTCCAGAGGGAATGACGGAGCCACATCGATCAGATATCCAATCAAAAGAGCGATTCCAATGACGACGATAATGATTCCAAAGGGAACACAAATCCTACACCATACAGAAACTTCCTGTCCTTGTTTTCTGTCTTCTTCTTTCGCCTTTTCGACGGTCTCGACAGAGTAACTCTTGACTGGTATCGTGCCAGGAGTTCCATCAGTTTCGCAGCTCATTGGCGATTTCGATTCTGCCAAAGCTTTTTCTTCAGGATCAGCCTCCGGAGGGGAGCTCAGTCCATACTCCTCCTCCTCTCTATCATTGTTAGGAGTCTCAAGGTCAAAAATCATCTCATCGTCGGAATCCTCTGTCAATATCCGAGGTACCGTCCCTTTGAAGGGTGCCTCTTCTTCTGTAACCTCTTCTTTCTGGGCATTCGAAGGCATTGGAGTACTACCTTCCGTTGTTGCAGAATGTTGTTTCTTTTCACGCTTGATGTCAGCCTGTACTTCATCTCTCGACTGGCGTTTGAAGGAGGGGAAAGAACCAAGAATCGGAGGTCGTGGTGGTCGCCAGAGGCGGTCATTCGATCTAGCGATGCTTTCTGAATGAATTGGGCTATGGGTCCTCGGTGATCTGTCTTCGATTTCATTGGATGGATGCCGAGGTGTAGCCATTGGGTTTCCCATCGTCTGACTTGGGAACAAAGTTGTGCCAGTTTTCAATTCCTTTTCTTCCCCCTGCCCTTGCTGCGTTTCCCGTTCTTCAGCGACTTCCTGGCCAGAAGCCAGTGTAACTCTCTCGCCGCCGTCGGGATTTTGTTGAATATGTGCATGAGACACCAATGGCATCACAGACTCTTCAATCGTCGAATTTACTGTCGGCGCTTCGTGGATTGTTGGTGTTGGGCTTGTCTCACCACTATTTTTCAAGACAGAAAAGGTCACGAGCCCCCCCCAAGTGGAAGGAGAGTTATCCTTCAGCTCTCCCACACCGGGTGCTTCAGCTCCCTGTTTCTTGGCTGTAGATGTTTCATCCACCAGCGAAGGCAACTGAGAACGACCTTGTGGTGGTGTGACAAACGTTTCTTGCCCAAACGCTCGTGGTACGGGTGTATCTATCTCATCATCCAATCTTCTATGAGACGGTTGCGCGGAATTTCTTGTATCAAGCATAGATGGCAATCCTTGCTGTTGTGGCGTACTCATTTGATCGTCACTTGGCGTGTCCATTGACTCGGTACCAAGCAAAGATGTCAAGCGATCAGTCCCATCACTTTCCACAGAATCGAATGTTTCGTCCAGCCTTCTCCCAAAGTAGGGCGTTCGATCTCCTGGCGTAACTGCAGGCGGTCGTTGTTGGCTCTCCACATCCATTCGTTGAATTGGAGGACTCAAAATCGAATCAAGCTCTTCCAAAATACGGGACGAATTGTCGCCCATCTCTCCAACACGCGTTCCAAGTAGTTCTGGAGCAGGCTCATTTTGAGATCCACCGCTGCCTTCCGCGAGGCGAGCACCAAAGGAAGCAATAGACTGGAAAATATTCCCACTCTCTCCTACACTGGGCTGTGTTTTGTGGCTGATCTCGGAAATTCCACCCGTACCAATCGACGATACTTGCTCAAAACTAGATGGTGGTGTGATGTTGTGATCCACTGGTTGTTCTCCCACTGCCAACTCGGTTCTGGGTGATGGGGTCTCTAGACCAAATGGATTGAATGGTGAATATGCAGGAGATGATGTTGTAAGGCGATCAGGAGTTTTCAAACTATTTGTTGAAGATGCTGGAAGCCTATCGGGTGATTGCTGTGCTTCAACCTGTGACGCTTGAATGGGCTTGGGGGGAAACGTCGAAGCCACCGCTTTGGAACCTTCCTCTTTGGCTATTGCTATATCATGTGTAATAGTAGATGGATCAAGCGGCGTTGAGGACGGCGGAGGTTTTCTTCTATCTTCCTGCTTTTCGCGCGGAGGAGTGTTTATAGAGGTGTAAAACCGACCAAACATGCCCTTTCCTCCACTCTTCGGTATTCCAACGTCACTACCGGAAATTTTGGGAGAAGATTTCTTCCTGGAAGTCACTTTTGATGATTTTGCTGCTGCAGGTGGACTCACCTTGGGTGACGGTTGTTGTCCCATTGCCGGTGAAAAATTCGGTTCGTAGCTACCTTCGGATGGCAACAGAGGTATCCAATCCTCCCCGCTTGTGTCGACTTCACCTGAATCATCTTTAGACGGTGTCGCCGCTGCCCCCATACCTTCCGGTGAGGAAGGATCCACTCCACCAAAGGCTGGTGATCCGGGCGAGGACGGGCCCAAGTCACCCAAAAATGAAAAGTCAACTCTCGACAACTCTTGTGCCAACATTTGCCGACTCGACTCCAAGTCGCTCATTTCCGAATCCAAATCATCGTCTTCTTCCCCAACAATTCCACTGGTACGTCCCAACTCGCCCAATTGCTGCGCGGGTGTTGCCAAGAGTTGATTGAGTCGCTCCACTTGTTCAGTAAATGGTTCCTTGACGCTACTTGCAGAACTGTCACTGGATGCCGACGAGAGATCGTCAGAGGAGGATTCCTGTCCTACCGGAGTCAAACCCGGAGAGGATCGTGAAAAGGAGGGAGACTGAGGACTAAATATATCAGAAATTCGATTGAGTGGATTGAACGTTCGCCGATCCGTTTGTTGTCGACTAGATCGAGGCGTCGTAGAGAGTCCCGAGAGAGGTGTAGACAGCGGCGGGCGATTTCGTCGACCGGTAGTAACTCGCCCTAACGATGGTCGAGAGGGACCACCACTGGCAGACACCTGAGTAGCGCTGGAAGCACTGGGTGCCGATATCGGTGTTGTATATTGTGATCTAGGTTCTGAATGTTGCGGTGTGGTGTACCGTGTCGATACAGCTGCTAGAGCAGCTGGAGAAGATGAAGCTCCGGGGGAGGCTGATCCTGACGTTTTTCGAGGAGACGGTGTGAAGAATAGCCGTCGTTTCCTAGGCTTGGAGGGCGTATCCTCTGTACCCGAGGGAGACGATGTTTGTGATGTAATAGCAACTTCGGCTGTCGGCGAAACAGGAGTAGCAGCGGCCGACGGCGGTGTCTCATCTCTTCTACCAGCAGCCGATGGTCCAGGAGGAGACGGACTCGATGATTCGGTAGAGGTGGTAGGAGCTCCCTGCAAAGTTTGCTGGGGAGATGATTGTGCTGTCGTTGCTTCGTTGGATGTAGGAAAATCAGTCAATTCCATTCCCTCGGGGGAACCAAATCCATGCTGCAGAACATCAGAGGGTCGAGGCAGTCGACCGGGGGACGGCTGCTGCTGTAAATGCTTCCGCAGTTGATCTTGCTGGCTCATTTCCAAGTTTTAGCGAGAATAATGTGGCTATGTTTCACAAAATTAATGTGAAATATGTGGGCAATCGGCCAGACGACAATCCAACGTCCTTGTATTTGATGGTCGTCTAATAAAGCTCCTCTGGAAGTATTTATTTCTAGTTGTTGCCTACTGAATGTATGAATGACAAGAGGGGGAGCAGATATTGTTGGAGGTGTTGTTCTTCCTTTCGCTTCTTGGATTGGTCATCATCTCACAGCTTCACAGTCAAATGTCAGCATACACACGGGATCGATCCCCGCATCACCGCATCCAATGTCGGTGTCCAATTAGATAATGGTAGACGGTTGGATCGAATTTGGAAAAGAAAATTCGTCGATTCGACGACTGTTGAATTAACACATGCGGCCAGAACATTTAGTTTGTGCGACCAACCGTACTCGCAACGGACGGTCGTTCAATGGCGAAAAAAGTGAAGTATCTTGAATATAAAAATATTTCACGTATTTACAAATTCATTTTGGCATATTGAAGCATAAAAAAGAACTTCAGAATGCCGGTACAAAAGTACCGTACTACGGCTGCTCGTATGAAACGAAATCACAGTCAGTATCGAAAATCATAGAAGGGATACGTCGTAGTCTACCTAGTACTCCGACGTCGTACGGGCAGTCTGGCGACAAGCTACTGGAGTACTACAGTAGAAAACATTGCGTTTGAAGATAAAAAGCGTTATGAAAGGGTATGTAGTAGTCTACTAGCTAGGAGTACTTGAAGATTGGGACGCATGTACGGTAGTAGTTGCGATGTTTCAGGCCTCAAAGTCAACTGTATGATACAAAAAAAGCATTTTGTGCCATGAATAACCATATTATAAATACTACTCCGAGTACTAAACAGTAAAAAGATAACTTGAGGAGCTCTAAAACCAAGATGACCGAAAAAGGGAAAACAGAACGCAACAAGAAATTATAACCCGTGGTTCCAACGTAGTCCCCCACCGTGGTACTGGCTGGGCCCGAACATGCTTATTAACTTCGCTGAGCGGACGGGAAGCGGTGCTTTCATCTTCAATCTTGGTATGTATCGGAATCTCCATTGCTATCTCACATAGCGATGGGGATTGCCATACGATTTGACAAAAGAACTTTTAACCCTACTCGAGCTAGCTAGCTTAGCTAGTGGACTACTTCGAGTACTTCTTATTTTTATGAAGGTGACTGTGAGTTCTCCGTTGACAAGCGCCAAATTTTGATGCCAGAAAAGGATCTACAACAGCTTACGAATGAGGCCGACAATAGTAGCTTCGTCCACCCACCCTCCCCTGCCGATTTCATCGTCGTCATCGATTCCACATCAATGTTGTCTTTTCAATGTCTTGATTCCAACGCACTCCAATTGAGTTAAATGCTCCATCTACACATACGTCGATCATCCTGTCCATAGCAGTAGTTGCACAGGATCGTAAAACGACAGTTCTTTTTCGACAACAGACAGTGACCATCTGGCTTATTTGGACAACATGATGGACGTCAACGATGAGGACGATTCATACCGCTTCTCCAGTACATCCATGAAAAAGAACAAACCACGGCAATTGAGAATCAAGAAAACACTGGTTGCAGACGACGAGGAGGATAATGGGCCATCCAATGCCATTCCTCCCCCCACACGACAGATGCAGCAGCAACAGCGGCAACAACAGCCACCGCAACAATTATCGCCCAACCAACCTCAGAAAGTTCCGGTCAACACTGCAAAAGCGTCTCCATCACCGGCGTTGGTAGCATCGGATGGGTCCTTCTCGTCCTCTTCTAGCTCATCGTCACAACGACATAAAAGGTTCCATCGTGCGTCGTCATCGTCGTCGTCTTCTGCAAAGAGTCCGCTGTCGTCAGGCGTTGCGCGATCACGATTTTCGCCACATTGGGAAAGCCAGACGTCCCGAGAAGGAAAAAAGACTTCAACAACGACCGCATCAACAGCCACCCATCATCCGCAACGGGTTGGTCGATCGCCCCCTTCCAGAACAAAGGAATCGATTGCTGATGACACCGAAGTGTTTGACCTCCATGCTCCCACCATGTACAACAGTTATCGTCGACGAAGTCGAAGTCGCAGTCAAGGGGATCGGGTCCAAGATGCCGTTGGGGAAGGTCAAACGGCGGAAAGTTCTTCTGTCTCGTTGACATCATCGTCATCTTCCAGCGATAGTGGAGAGGAAACATATGAAAAGTACCGCAAATATCTCTCTACCAACGATGGAAACAACAAAGAAGATGCTGCTCCCTGGCGAAAAGCGCAGTCCCAAAAGAAGGCAACCATGAAGATAGGAGCTCCGCCGCCCTTGGAGTATTCCTATCGGTATTCGGCATCGCAGCAACAACCAATGGAAAAAGAAGCCATTGCCTCCCCGACACTGGAATCTAACGAGAAACGACGAAAATCAAACTCTCCCAGAGATCGGCTCACATCCAATCGCATACCGCAAGAAGATCTGGAGATGGTGGAAATCATGTTATTGGGGAGTAGCAGTGAGGAAGACGACTCCTCGACCGAAAGTCCTATTCCGCACCAGTTTGTTGACGGTACTACGTCCGAGGAGGATACTAGCATGGGACTTCAGTTAGAAACAAGCAGTAGCCACGGAAGTAGCAGTCACCGAGAACAACAGAGCCAAAGTACTGCTGAACCATCGCAACGCGCTAATTATGTCATGGTAAAATCGGAAGGGAAACCTTCCAGTGGTCTTGGTCCACTCGCAATGGAAAATGGAACAGAGAGACGTGCTCCAAATGAAACGAGCAAGCAAGTACCGCTTCGTGATTCGATACAGCTGCAAAGAGTAGAGACGCATGCTCTTCAAAATAATGCCGCGCCATATCGAGGAAAGGAGCTTGCATTAGGCAACCGCGCACATGAAGGTGCGAGCAGTGACACAGGGGCCACTGAAACAAAGAAGGATATCCGAAATATAGCATTTACAACGGGGATGTTTCCTGAAGGGATTTATGGTGAAGGAGTGGGAAGTAACGAAGAGAAAGTTCCAAAAGCTGGAGGTTTACAATCATCTAAAACTCCTCCACCTGTGGTACAAACAGAAGAACAATCTGGCACCGTTCAAGATAGGATCAAACAATTGGAAGCCAATAGCAAGCCTGCTTCTACAGCAGTGTTTCAAGCAGAGAAAAACATTGGGATCATTTCGGGTGAATCAACCATTGAAGAAGCCAAAATATTGGAAAGTGTGAATGGGGACATAGTGGATATGTGGGAAACCAGTGTCTTGGAAGAGTCAAAAGACGTGTTGGAAGAATCATTTGGTCAACATAGCAAGAGAAGAGGAATGACTCTCCTGAACTCTTCTAGGTTATCCATTGGGAGTAGAGGCAGCAGGCGCACACAAACGCAAAATGACTCATTGTCGCAGAAGAGCTTCGGAGACAGCTGTTCTTTAAGGGAAAGTGATGGGGATTCTGTGCCTTTGCAACCAATGGGAAAGATGGAAGAAGGAAACAGTAGCATTTCAAAAAGCACAGGCCTTGCATTAGCAAGAAGTGGTAGATATGATGTTATGACTCCAAGTCTGGCAATGTCCCACCTGGCAGGACTGAACCAGCCAAAACAAAATGATGACAGTGACAGCAGTGCCTCTTTGGGCAGTGATGAAGTGTTTGATCCTGCTCCAAAGGTTTTGGTTTCCAAGCCACTTTTGGCTGCAGCTGTAAAGGGCAAGCAAGAATCAGAATCAAATGCCCAGTGTGGGTCGCACTTGGAGGGACTGAACCAGCCAAAACAAAATGATGATAGTGACAGTAGTGCCTCTTTGGGCAGTGATGAAGTGTTTGATCCTGCTCCAAAGGTTTTGGTTTCCAAGCCACTTTTGGCTGCAGCTGTAAAGGGCAAGCAAGAATCAGAAACAAATGCCCAATATGGGTCACACTTGGAGGGACTGAACCAGCCAAAACAAAATGATGAGAGTGACAGTAGTGCCTCTTTGGGCAGTGATGAAGTGTTTGATCCTGCTCCAAAGGTTTTGGTTTCCAAGCCACTCTTGGCTGCAGCTGTAAAGGGCAAGCAAGAATCAGAAACAAATGCCCAGCATGGGTTGCACTTGGAGGGACTGAACCAGCCAAAACAAAATGATGACAGTGACAGTAGTGCCTCTTTGGGCAGTGATGAAGTGTTTGATCCTGCTCCAAAGGTTTTGGTTTCCAAGCCACTCTTGGCTGCAGCTGTAAAGGGCAAGCAAGAATCAGAATCAAATGCCCAGCATGGGTCGCACTTGGAGGGACTGAACCAGCCAAAACAAAATGATGACAGTGACAGTAGTGTCTCTTTGGGCAGTGATGGAGTGTTTGATCCTGCTCCAAAGGTTTTGGTTTTCAAGCCACTCTTGGCTGCAGCAGTGAAGGGCAAGCAGGAATCAGAATCACATGCCCAATATGGGTCACACTTAGAGGGACTGAACCAGCCAAAACAAAATGATGACAGTGACAGTAGTGCCTCTTTGGGCAGTGATGAAGTTTTTGATCCTGCTCCAAAGGTTTTGGTTTCCAAGCCACTCTTGGCTGCAGCAGTGAAGGGCAAGCAGGAATCAGAATCACATGCCAAATATGGGTCACACTTAGAGGGACTGAACCAGCCAAAACAAAATGATGACAGTGACAGTAGTGCCTCTTTGGGCAGTGATGAAGTGTTTGATCCTGCTCCAAAGGTTTTGGTTTCCAAGCCACTCTTGGCTGCAGCAGTGAAGGGCAAGCAGGAATCAGAATCACATGCCCAATATGGGTCACACTTAGAGGGACTGAACCAGCCAAAACAAAATGATGACAGTGACAGTAGTGCCTCTTTGGGTAGTGGCAAAGTGCTTGATTCTGCACCCAAGGGTTTGGTTTCCAAGCCACTGGTGGCTGCAGCAGTGAAGGGCAAGAAGGCTTCACAAACAGATATTGACAATGGAAGACAAGTTCATGCAATGCCTTCAGGAGCTCACCCCCATACCAATCACCATGATAGGGGGTCTTTACAACAATTGTTAACACCAGGGGTTGTTAAAAGTGATTCCGAAGATAGTTCTGATTCAGTGGCGATTGGGGGGATTATGGCCATGTTGGAAGACGACAAGTCTGACGAGTTCTCTTACCAGGCTTCCCATGACATCTCAAAAGACCACGGATCCATTTCTGAAAATTCAGATTATGATCATAACAAGGTCAGAAACAAGGGTTATGACGACGATTTCATGAACCATGGACTGCATAATTTGAACGCAAGCTTGTCAGAACACGATCCAGAAGAGCAGATGGAGCCTCTTGTCCAATCAAATGAACTTCACAGTGATATCGACAGCGATAGCGAAAGCGACAGTGACAGCTCCTCTTCCGCTAATGTTGTGGCCGAAAAGCTTATTGCATCTAGCAAGAGTCCCAGCAAGGCCCCGGAGTTCTTCAGATGCTGCTATCGAGGATCAATAGTCTTGCTCTTATTTGCAGCAATAGGATTACCACTTTATTTTTTGGTTTGGTACAATGATGGAGACAATGGATCTACGTTGCCAACGGAGACAGTACCACCTCTATTTCCACCACTATCACCAATTACCCCCACCATTCCTGTGGCCGACCCATCATCCCCACCCATGTCTGTCCCTACACAAGATTCTCCCACGGAAAGTCCTCTTCCACATCCGTCATTTCCAACTACTTCTGGTCCATCCGGAACATCAATGCACGGTTCTGCAGAAGAAGCTAGAGAGTTACTCATTAATAAATGGCCAAGCCTCGAGGAAGACTGGGGCGATGTTCGAACGCCCCAATTCCTTGCATTGGACTGGCTTACCAATGATCCAAATCTAGACCAATATACCGAGGAAAGAATACTCCAGCGATTTTCGTTGGCAACCCTGTATTTCAGTACCGATGGAGACAACTGGAGACGAAATGATCGATGGTTGAGCATTGAGAATGAATGTCTCTGGTACTCCGCAGGTAGTTCCCTCCCCTGTGACGACAACCTCATCTACACGGCACTCAACCTTGATCTCAATGGATTGTCAGGTACAATACCCTCGGAGCTGGCGCTTCTGTCGAA